ATTGCTGTATCCCAAGAACACGTACTTCTGACCTGAACTTCAGTGTTTTCAAAATGGCAAGTTATCTAATGGACATCTAAAATGAAGGTAGATTGGACTCGTTTACGAAAGAGCCGGATTTTCGATGAACAAACTCGTTGAATTCACTGAGTCAAAAGTTTAAAAACTTTAAACTTGAGAGAAAATTTAGCATTTACTGTTGGAATCAGTTGTTTACCAGTAAAAAGAAGAGGTTTTAAGAATAGATAGCTGAAAACAGTCAAGGTGCTTGGAATGGAAGGATTAAACATAAAGGCACAAATACGCCGAACTGAGAGCATCTGGCGGAAAATATCGCAAGTAAAATGCCCTTCAATCAGGTAAAAATAATCTCTTTTTTATTAGTTTGAATCCTCAAATACTAAGTTTGATTCACTTTTTGTATTTGGCCGATGTCGTGATTGTATTTCTATTGTCTGTTGGGGACTTGAGAGTTTGAAAAGTTAGGAAAAACGTGTGTGAATAAATTGAATTGAATTGAATTGAACGTTGAGGCGGAGCGAAAATTCATGGTGCAAAATATGAAAGCAAGTTCTGGTCTTAATAGTCAAACTTTTTCATTAATTCACCTTTTCTCAATGGGCAATGTCTTTTGCATAAAGTGACATATCGTATTTTGGCAAGCTAAACATATTGAATAATTGTGAAAAATCAATTCAGATTTCAGAGCCTCTTGTAGTTTTTTCCTCTGTGAAAACAGAAATTTTTCTTCGGTACATTTCGGTGCAAGTTTGTTCTGATTCGTGTGTGAAACAAAATACTGGTCTTGTTCATCGTCTTCTAAATCAATTTAACTTAACTTAGAAAACACTACGATAAATGCTTTTTTGGCTGTCTTCACTATAGGTTTTTCGCTATTTTCATCGCATTTTTTTAATCGCAGTTTTCTTCCCCATGGCGTCTTCGCTGTTTTTAGCGCTTGTTCGTATGTGACTGAAAATCATCCTGATTTGATCTTTTTCGATGTTCTTTTACATCAATTGTTAAGTTTAATTTTTAATTCGTCTATGAAGAACACGCGATACTTTAATTATTTCAAAACTTGCATTTTTCTCGTCGGAAACTAAAAACATTTTCCGCTCGCATTGAAGTCACTACAACTCTGAGCAATCAGGAATCTCATGCTAAAAATAGCTCAGCCTTGCGCGCGGAGCTAAAAATAGATTTTCAAGAAACTTTCATGGTTACAGACCCATGTATGGGAGATGTGCTCTCTTACTTAATATTCTCTTGCCAATGATTATAGGTACTAGAATATGGTCTTCCATCGGAGAAGGTTAGCCTTGCGCTAATGTTTTCAGAAGACGAACTTGGAGTGACTTCTGATCTCTGCCCTGATGATGTTGTGAAACTGAACGATGCTAGTAAGATGTCATCCTTTTTTAAAACACTACACCAAGTCTTTCTAGAGCAAGTACAAGACAAGGAACATCACTTGAAAATAAAGAAAATGAATAAACTGGACAGGAATTCCAGGGAAATAATGACCCAAGAAAAAGAGGTGAATATCGAGTTGGTTCGTAAAGCAGATATCGTTCCAAGGAATTTTAGTGAAGTAGAGACTTTGAAGGAAAGTGGACGTTATTCAGATCCGAGTATCCTTAACCCTTGTATACGTAAAGGCGAGGAGGGTAGTTCGATACTCAATGCAGATAAAATGTCTCCTCGTTCTTCATCATTGGCCAAAGTTAGGTCAAAACGTCGTGAAATTTTAAAAGAAAGAAACTGTTCAGGAGAAAACAGGTTTTCTTCATATTTACAAGACAGTACTGATAAGAGACCACGTGATAATCGATTTTCCTATTACACTGAAGATACTAGTTATCGTCTTGAAGACCTATCCAACATGGACAACTCCTACAGAAGTTCATCTTCAACGTCTCTTCACCATCCCTATCATTCTGTTGACGTTTCTTTAAAAAACAGTCGTAATAAATCCTCACCTCATAGAAAAATAGATGATGTGCCTTGTTTTGATGAAGATTTGATGTATGGCCTGTTACCCAAGGACACAGTTTTCGATTCTGACGACTGGACATATTCTTATACGATGCCACACGCGTCAAAATCATGGCAAAAAGAGCGGGGAAATGCTCAACATCAAGTCAGGGATTTTAGAAATGAGTTACAACGCTTGAAAGAGGAATACTTTAGACTGATGAATATGAAAGCACTAGAAACATTCAGCCAAGATTCCTTTACAAAGACAGAGAAACCCTTCCCGCCTAAAGTGTTTGTTTCAGAGGAAGATAGCGGAATTTTAAATATAGATAATGTTGATTGTAGTTCTGTTGACAAAAAGGCAAATAAGTGCACAATTCTAACAGAAAAACTGGTAAAGAGATCTAGTCAAACCAGTTCAAGTGTGATGGCTTACATGAACGTAAAGAAAGGAACCTCGCCGCCATACAGAACCTGGTCCAAGTATGAAAACACTGACGGTGACAGATATCGTTATTGCTCCACCAAGAAGACTCTCAAAACTGACAGGAATACAACACGAAACGACGCCATTACCACTAAGGTGGCGCACTTGGCTGAGGTGGCTGTACGTAGCTGGAATGGGATGGAATCGATGAAGACGTCTGTCGAGTGCCGAGGCAAGGGGCAAACAGACGACGTAAAACAGGTTATCTCGGATTCTAACTCCTTAGTAAGGTAAGAGGAGAAAAATTTCTATAATATAGAAAGATAAGTCATACATGTTTGGTATATAGAATAAATACAAACTAATCTCGACTTAGTCGCTGCAAAATCGCCGAGGATTTATGCACTAAACAAAATTGCAAAAATGCGCGCTAGAAGGTCTTTCTCCGAAGGAGAATTTTGGTTTTAGTACTTTCATTTTTCGCGTTCAATTAATATTCATTCTCGAGAACCTCGTTAGCGAGAAACGAGCGAGAAACGGGTTCCCGCTGATGCCAAGGTGGCGGCCTCGGAAAGAAAACTGAAAATGGGTTTCAATGTCAAAAGCAACCAGCACCGGGTATAGTGCTACGACGGACACTAGAGAAAAACGTTTGCGCATGAGTGCATTTCAGCACGTTTTCTAAGAATTTTGAAGAGTTTGAGTGAGAAAATAAATTGTTTTCTCCGAGTATACAAAAAAGTTCGCGAGTATACTTTTGTCAGACCAAGATACTTTCTTAATAAACACAATATGAAAGAATTAGCCTTAAGTTTCAAACGTGGACACTTAGTTTTGGCATTTTGTGAAGTCCAATTTATCAGGCATGTTTGAAAGTCAAATTTACTTATGTTTTGACTAATTTGCATAAGGATTAATAGCATGCGCAGACGGTTTTCACTTGTGACGAGTAGGATGCATAAGTCTTGTGCGCATGCCAAGAGAATATGAAGTAAGAGAGCATATCCCTGTGACCCATGAAAGTTTCTTGAAAATCTATTTTTAGCTCCGCGCGCAAGCCTGAGCTATTTTAGCATGCGATTCCTGATTGGTCAGATTGTAGTGATGTCATGGGTACACAAGAGATCGGTGTAGTGACAAAGCAAGCTTCACGCAGTTGACAAACCAAACTTTATTCAATTTGATGAGAAAATGCGTTAGAGGAATTCCTTGAGAAATTCTGAAAGGATTTTGAAGGTATCCATTGGCAGCATATGTAAAAAAATACTCGGCTAAGACAACATCATTCAAGCTTGTTTTTAAATCAAAACAATGGTCGCTCGATTGAGACTCAATCATTTTGGAGTTGATTGCAGTTATAGATCAAAACTGTAAGTTATTCCACAATTCTGCACCTAAACTGAAATAAAGTTAATATTCCCAAGAACACGTACTTCTGACCTGAACTTCAGTGTTTTCAAAATGACAAGTTATCTAATGGACATCTAAAATGAAGGTAGATTGGACTCGTTTATGAAAGAGCCGGATTTTCGATGAACAAACTTGTTGAATTCACTGAGTCAAGAATTTAAAAAACTTTAAACTTTAGAGAAAACTTAGCATTTACTGTTGGAATCAGTTGTTTACCAGTAAAAAGAAGAGGTTTTAAGATAGCTGAAAACAGTCAAGCTGCTCGGAGTAGAAAAATTAAACAAAGGCACAATTACGCCGAACTGAGAGCATCTGGCAGAAAATATCGCAAGTAAAACGCCCTTCAATCAGGTAAAAATAATCTCTTTTTCATTAGTTTGAATCCTCAAAAACTAAGTTTGATTCACTTTTTGTACTTCGCCGATATTGTATTTCTATTGTCTGTTTGGGACTTGTTGAAAAGTTATGAAAAAAATACCTGAACATTGAGGCGGAGCGAAAATTCAAGATGCAAAATTTGAAAGAAAGTTCTAGTTTTAATAGTCAAACTTTTTCATTAATTCGCCTTTTCTCAATGGACAATGTCTTTTGCATAAACTGACACACCGTATTTTGGCAAGCTAAACATATTGAATAATTGTGAAAAATCACTTCAGTGCCTCTTGTAGTTTTTTCCTCTGTGAAAACAGAAAATTTTCTTCGGCACATTTCGGTGAAAATAGTTTTTCTGATTCGTGTGTGAAACAAAATACTGGTCTTGTTCATCGTCTTCTTAATTACTTTAACTTAAACTTTATTTACTATAGAAAACACCACGGTAAATGCTTTTTTGGCTGTATTCACTGTAGGTTTTTCGCTATTTTCATCGTATTTTTTATTGCGGTTTCTTCCCCATGGCGTCTTGGCCGTTTTTAGCGCTTGTTCGTATGTGACTAAAAACTATCCTGATTTGATCTTTTTCGATGTTCTTTTACATCAATTGTTAAGTTAATGTTTAATTCGTCCATGAAGAACACATGATACATTAATCATTTCAACTTTTTACTAATTTTGAAGGCATTCTTCTCGTCGGGAACTAAACATTTTTCGCTCTGAGCAGCAATAAGGGATCGCATGTTACAAATAGCTCAGGCTTGCGCGCGCAGCTAAAAATAGATTTTCAAGAAACTTTCATGGTTACAGACCCATGTATGGGAGATGTGGTCTCTTACTTAATATTCTTTTGGCGCATGCTCATTAGCGGAACTACATGTACTGTGTTTAGGGACTGTGCAATAATTATCGGGAGAGGGGGTTCTAAAATCCTCCAAATTGGGCTTAAATTGAAGCTAAACCTTCCCCTGTGCTAAACGCAAAATAACTTCTCACCCCTCCCCCTTTTGAAATAAAATAACTATCAACCCCCACCCCCCCCATGCATCGCCACCAACGCCAAAAGCTGGCAAATCCTGCCCCTGAGGGATCTTCTTTCTTTGAAATTTTTTGTTGGGGAAGCCAAGGAGCTTCTGTTTTTACCCTTGACATAGCATTAAATACATAAATATCGTCAACATAAAGCTAGAAGAATTATTACAAAGCAAAACAAAAAAGACATGACATAGGCAGTTGTCTTATATACAGTCAATCAATGTGGCATAACTTTACCACAGAACAGTATAGAAAGTTGAGACTGTTTTTTTTTTGTATTGTTCTTATTACAAAGGATACTCAGTTTATACATTATATTTCAACACATATGGTTTTGAGGTTGCACCTGTGACAAGTTGTGTCCTTTATACAGTAAAAAATACTAACAGTGAATGTTATATGCATCTTTTCAATTTTATAGTGAACAAAATCCCAAATTGACTTATGATCCCCCCTCTCCATATTGACCCCCCCTATTGATTTTAGAACCCCCCCCCCCCCTTCCCGATAATTATTGCACAGTCCCTTATAGTATTTTTGTTGTGGATCATAGTAAGTTTGCAGTGAAAATCGATTTAACACAATATGGAACTGCAGCAACATGAAGTCGCAATAGAAATAGTCGATCAAATGGACACTAAAGAACCGTAGAACCCATGCAGAACCAATACGAAAATTCTGCTCAATATGCCATCAGGTGATAGGTCCCACTTGCACTAACAGGTGACGTAACACTAACTCCCTTAGGGCGAGCAGTTTTGTCCGAAATATATAAAAAAAAAAACAGAAATGAAAAGAGCATCTCGGCATAAGTTGGAGACGGAGTTTCAGCTCATAATGAACGAAACAGGAGAAATGGCATTAGATATGAAATTGAATGTATTATAAGGACTCGTATGGGAAAATGTGCGCGCTGGAGGGCAAAAGTTTACCAGCCAACACTTTTCCCATACAAATCCTTGTAAGATATTTGATTTTATATTAAATGTCATTTCTTCTATAGTTAGCATCTAGAGCTGAACCCTCTTACCAAATTTGAGGGGCTCTTTTCATTTCTGGAGTTTTTAAGGGGAATGGGGTCACGTGACCTGTTAGTGCAAGTCGTCTATTGACCCCACGAGTAGCGGGCAGTAAGAGGTGGTGCATAAGCAGTGCACACGACTGACCCTCTTTTGCTTTGAGTGTGCTTAACCGATCGAATCTAGCCATTCAAACAAGAACGATTTCCTCTTCTCTTTTCTTTCAGTTCTCCAAAGAAGGAAACGCAAGAATCACTTGACAAAGATGATGGACCAAGACGAGTCAGCAGTCAAAAGTTCAGCGGTAGACAACTTTATGGTATGACTGCACTCGTCAGACTGAGCTCCAAGAAAGCCAATGCAGTGTCTGATACTGACAGCTAGTTAACCAACCAATAGTACTAAAGAACTTAATTTATCGAAAAAATGAAACTAAGTTTCTTCAAAATTTTCCTAAAACACTTCCAGGGTTAGGTCACAGTCGGAAGGCTAGTTTTTTTCTTTCTCCTGCCACCTTTAACGTTATTCTTGTCTAAATTTTATTAATCGTTTGTAAATTATTGTATTTTCAGTTGTATACCGCATCTCTTGTGTAAATGGTGGCGAATTTATTCAACTAAATGAAATATTCAAATAGTAAAATGGACTCCGGGATATAATATTCTGATATGATAAGAAATAATATGATTGCATGATATGATACTGTATGAACTACTATAGTGCAAGTGGCGTGGTCTTTTATTATATATATTTAATATTCTTTTCGATCTCTAACAGCGAATAATCAGGGAGGGGCCGGAGCAGGGAGGGCACAGCCACTCCCCCATCGCTTTCCTTTTTCCCATACTCGTCTCTTATATCTTCCACCCTTAGCCCCATTTTCCCCATACTAGTCTCATATACATTTTCTAATCTTGCCCCTCCCCCCCTTATTAGGCTGCTTCACAGCCGCCCCAGCTAATGGTCACATTTCGGATGAAAGAACAGTAATAGCGTTTTGAGTATGTAAATTATGATCACAATCACAAGGGCGTTGTATTACTCATGTCCACCTAGCGCTGATAGGAAACGTAATGATATAATACGACGTAATCCGGCGGCTAACAGAGCCGACCCTGCCAGTGAGTACAAAGCCTTCAACATTACAGCACACAACATGGAATTTCTTTCTCTAGCCTATGATAGTTTTAACAAATTTTAGGTTCGACCTAACGTTCTCTCTGTTCAACAATTCTAATTCCCGTTAAGTTTTCTCTTCGTTTAAATCGGTTAATTTAGAGTATTTAGATCGTAACACAACCCAATAGAAGTCATACCGGCCGTGATGTCGACTAGCGCCGAAGTGGATCGATACAACTACACTACATTCAAGGTATTAATATTCTGGTTCATCATTTTGCAGTTGGCTTCTCAAACACTGGATTTCTAGCGAGAGTTTTTCTTTTTCCAACATCAGTTTTTCTTTTTCCAGCACAATCTTTTCTTTTTCTAAAATTAACTTTTCCTTTTGAAGTTGTTGTAAATCGAAAGATGTCGTGCCGTTAGCCATGTCTTGGTTGGCTTGTAGCCTTCGTCTTTTGGCGCTGTACAAGATAGATTGAATGTTGTTTCTCTTGGTTCTGAAGGCAATATTATTTGGTCTACGCATACTCTGTCTAGTCTGTTCTGTCAGGGCAGCAGCGGGTGGACCAGGTTGAACGACTTCCATCCCACATCCTTCAGCAGCCCTTACTTCTTCCATCCGTGGATACAACTGTTCGTTAGCGGGCGGTTCATGATCAGAAGTCACTGAATTCGACTGCGATGTTTCCATTTTACACAGAGAGTCGTCTTCATTTTGATGATGAACCAATTTACTGTGGGAAGGCTCCTCAGGTGCTGCCGAATTTATACTCCCCGTGGGGGAGGTACAGATTATTGGTATCTGCGAGGGATTATGTTTGGAGTCGCTACTGTATCCTCGCATAATCCTTTGGCTAACCTGTGATGGTGGCTTGGTTGGGTTATAGTGAGCCGTATCTTTTCGTGCGATTGTCACCATGTTTTTCCATTTTCTCCTCACTTCGTCCACGCTCCTTCTAACCAGGGGATTTTTTGTGTTCAACGCAACACAAATGCTCTGCCAGACCGCTAGTTTTTGCCTGTTCATTTCCGTACTGTTAATCTTCGAACGAAGAACTTCTTTATTCTTCTCGAACTCTTCGATCAGAAAGAGATTTTCCATTTCAGTGAAGTTAGGTTTTCTTTTCGATCTAATGTTTTCTTCCATGACTATGACTAGGCTTGAGGTATTACTAGAAACACAAAAACCGACGAGTTTTAAATATTCTTTTCAGTCCGCTAGTCTAGAGCTTAAACCAGCATCTGTTCTTTGTGATTACTTTTCTATCATGTCGCTTCGTAGTCGTGGAGAATACTTCCCAAGGTTTTGTAAAACTCTGAGATGAACGATACAAACTCTCGGCAAAGCTAACAACTGGGAAAATGAGCTTTGATTCACGAAGTACAAGCGTCGACTCGGCTAGCGCCAAGACAATATCTAATACCTGACTAAAGCGTGTTTGTGACTCGATCTATTCTCATTTGCAATGCTAATACCAACACTTGAAGACAAAGGATCGCTAATCCAGGTTTAGCCTCGGCTCAATTAATTAATCATTTTTCATTCCCTTCACTATTGTACATGGATTTCGCTCGCTTCTAGACAGTCTTAATAATTTTCTAAGGTTAAGTGTGGAAGATTTACCTTAAAGCTCTGAGATTATGAGTGATCTGTGCTTGTTTATGGAGACACGTTCGAGGGATTTTACAACATTCAAACGAACAAGACTAGAGGCGGTAATGAATAACAGGAAGTGAGGCCATATAATGTAACAGAAAAAACGGAGAATATACTATTAGAAAGACAGAATTTAGAGTATTTAATTTCTGTATAAATGTCTCCCGTGTAGGCAGGTACAACGACGTACTGAACTTAGCACATCACATTAAAGAGAAAAAAGAAATGAAGATGCGAAGAAGTCACCAATGTTCTACAGGGCGCTACCTGTTTTTATTCTGCTAAGATTCAAGGTGCTCAACGTACGTACTAAATCGATTGAAACTGTGTCTGAAATTCTAAATCCAGTCTATCTATGGTCTCTGTCTGTTACACTAATGATGTATACKATGACGATAATGATGATGATGTTGATAATAAACTAGGTGACACGTGACAGTCACCACTTAGCACTGATAAACTTGTGGCCCTCAATCACGGATAATGATAATGATAATATTAATGATGAAAATAGTGATAATGATGATGATGACGATCAGGATGATAATGATGTTGATAGGAAAATATATTTAGAGGGTGACACGTGACAACTTAGCAAGTACCGCGTGATAAACTTGTGGAATCTGGCGACTGGAAACATATTGTTCAAACTACTCATTAGCATTTTTCAAAACGGTTTCAACGTTTACTGAATGTTCAAAACGCTAGTTACTGAGTTGTAGAGCGTTTTTACGTGAGAAGGTACAGTTTTTGCCCTAAAAATAGAGTTCAATTCCCGAAGGGTAGAATATTTCAGTTCTTGGTATACCAACATGGCCGCTGTGAGGTCAGTGAAACTTGCCCACAGCCTACGACTTGGCTAATGAGTAGCGCCTGGGTAAGAGAAAGGGTGCACCCCCCAATACTATCCGCCCAGACTTGTCCCAAGTCTCTCTCTTGTCTTCCGCGATAGTACTTTATTCAAACGAAGCGAGAATTTGTTGAGCACAGCGATGGCGCAGAGGACAGCGGACTTCGCGAAGGTCTATCCGGCACCCTGCGTTGACCACTCATTGTACTTGAATGCAATGCTTTATTTAAGAGGCTTTGAAACAGAAGAAAGTTCAGGGAATAATAAGCTGAAAAAGAACTCGAAGTGTTCAGGGTTTGAGTGTCCTGAATGTAAGATGACTTGTGTATGAACGGTTTGAATAGGCAGATTAAGATTCCCGTTTTTCCTTCCCGCAAACGGCAAACGTGACCACATTTTCATCGTTTCGCTACATTTCAATTTAACTTTTGCAAACCTTCTCGACAAAGGCAAGTATCCATTTGTTTATTTACTACTTGGAGATTTTTGTGATTCCTTTTCATTAAAACTGACGTTTCACGTTTGCCGTAAACGAGAATCTTAAACTCTTTGATAACGTTGCAGCATGAGCTCTTGTTATTTTCTTTTTCACAACCAGCTGGACAGAAGATTAAATCATAATCTTGTGAGCCGCAGTAATGAGGTTGGGTCTTTATGGTAATCACAGCAACAACCATTACACATTGAACTACACCATACAAAAAATAAATAAAACAAACAAACACACACAGAGACACAAAGCAAACAAACAAACAAACACAAAACAAAATAAACAAAACAAACACACACACAAAAAGCAAACAAACAAACACAAAACAAAAACAAAAAACCATAAAAATAAAAGAAAAGGAATAGAAAGCAAAAAAATAAAGATAAATCATATCTGTTATAAATGCAAATAAGTTTTTTTTATTCATGTTCATAGCTTATTTCTTCTATCAATTCATACCCCCTAGTTTTGATGATGGAGTGGAGTGCAATTTGGTCTGAAATCAAACGCGCGATTACAAAATTGCACGACCTTATAGCGGGAGTGCGATTTGTAATTGCAAGTTTGATTTCAGACCAAAATTGCRCGACACGAAGTTCAATTACCACTTAATCATATCCTTTTTTGAAATCATACACAAGAAAGAGACACAATAAAGAGTGCAGAATAATCAATTTAATGTAGTAGAAGAACTAAATGCAAACAAAAAAAACATCTAAAAAAAATTGTTTTTGTTGATTTTTTTGTTTTATTTTATTGTTTAAAAAACATATTTTTACGATGCGATTAAGAGCTCCTAAGGATGCGATTTGGGAATTAATCGCACTCCTTTGAACCAATCAGATTGCAGGATTTGGTAGTGATTACAAAAAGGATATGATTACGTACTAATATCAGGCCGAGGTCCATTATTTATTTAACTAGTGGTGAGACAAGTGGGTTTTTACAGACAGACCACTAATCTGAAGAAAATGTCGTGTTGAGAATGATCATGTCATCAACCACTTTTTAAGTTATTTAATATCCCCCAATTACAAACACCTTATCAAAGGCTGCAACACAAAAACAAAATGTGAACAATAATAGGGAACTGTTAAAAAATGCCGGCAACATCTTTTTCATATTTTGAAGTACCGTGTCCCGTGAAATAGTGACGTAAACATGACGTCACTGCAAAACTGAGGTGTCATAAGGTCTTTGGAAATTGACAAGAGAAAAATAAAAACCTGTCCCCCATTGCAATAAAAATACAAAACTAATTAATTATTATTTAATATCCATTTTGGATTTTCGCTCGAGGTGATTATCGTGTGATAGTGTGAGTTTCTTGACCAATCAGCGCTCGAGATTCTCTATAATCACCCGCGTATTTTTACTAAGTCACTGTTATCAACCTCTTATTAACGTTATTTTTTTTTCGTTTGGGGCCTGGAAATCTGAATACTTTAAGAGGAAAAGCGACATCTCAGTTGTGCAAATTTTCTCTATTCTTATTGGCTAACATTTTCTCACAGATCAGCTGGCTGTGCTACTGTCTATCGATGCCACTTGATTGGTGTAAATAGCGATACCCCATCGTTTTCACGGGTCCCGAGGGACTAGGCTGCCTCTCAATACAAGAATTTTGCAGCCAAAAATGTTTCTTATAAAAAGTCCTTTGAGCTTTTTAAAATTGCCTACCCGTTCTACCCGAGCATTTCACTACAAGGATCACGAGCTATCCCCACCCCCTTCCCCCAAAGAAATTCCTGGATCCGTTATTCTGCGGAATAGGTTAAGCCACGTTCAACTTGAACGTAATATAAATTCTAGAACAATGCTACATTTATCCACATTACATGTAAAATACCGATTCGTAAAAATAGTGTCCAATCCTTTCATATCTAGCGATCTTTCATTTTATCGTTCTTATAACTCAATTGTAAATGAAAATTAACTATAAATTTTGAATCCCCCCCTTAATATTCATAAACGATTATGTACACTTATCAACATAAATACTTCGATTCTTAATGGCTACGTCACACGTGACTATTGCAAACCATGCGTTCTGATTGGTTAAGCTACCTGTCAGTAGTAAATGATAGGAAAAACTCTCAGGTTTAAAAAAACCCCAACTAAAACCTTGAATTTTTTGGTCATCCTTACGAGTTTAAGACTATTATAATGTATATTTAAACAAATAAAACCCTTACTCTCATCAGCTACGGTTTAAATATATAGCACACTCAGTTGTCCAGTTGTCAGTGTCTTATGGGCAGTTGACCCGTAGCTCATGAGGTACAAGGGTGTAATTGTCAAACAGTCTATAATGAAAGCCCTTTATATCATGGGGGAGCATAATCGTTCTAATTCTCTTGATCTTCTCAAATGAGCTTTCCTTATCGATTAATAAACAGTATAATACTGACTTTCACATAATCCATAGACCATATAAAAAAGGGCAAAAAAACAACAACAGTGCTTTCATTAGAAAAAATATACCGGAATTATTGATCTTGCAAAATTTCAGTGTAGTATCATTTAAAGATAAAAAGCTACAGCAGTTTGAAATTAGAAAGGTTTGTATGGAAACAACAACCAAGGGCCTACCAGCCTTGCTATCATGTTTTCGTTACTTTTTAAATGCTTATAGCTCTTCAGGGATTTAATATATGACAGCAGAGATTACCGAAGTTGCTAAATTAGACATGACATAGTAGTAATGGTCTTTCTTGTAATGAAAAAATATTTTTGAAATTTTTAATTGTTCGTGGTGCTCGTTCCCAGTCTTACACTCGTTTTTCATATGGTCTATAGCTTAGCGCCGGTTATACACCTAATTCAAAAAACGTTGTCATCGCCAAAGGCGATAGGCAATAGGAGATAGGCGAAAAGCGATAGGGGATATGTCATTCCAAGATCCAAGAATAGCTGTAATGACTTGTGTTTCTTCTTATTATTATTCTCGTCAAGAACATGGTCCTTCGTGTTGAGACTGATCGATTCGATGTTCTTTGTATTCAACGAAACCATTTCCATGTCGGAATGACCTATCGCCTATCGCCTTTGGCGCTGACAACCTTTTTTGAATTAGGTGTATACACTTTCCAGAGCACCGAACCAAGGATGCACTCACAATCCTCGGATCTCATTTGAGATTTGGATGATATTAATTTCATCAATCTATTTACAAATTATTTATTACAAATTTTGAATTGAATAAATGTTCATTTAGTATATCTGCTAACAAAACTTAGGGTCAATTTAATACTTTGTTTTATCGCTAAAAACATCACCATCTTAAGGTAGCTGGTTTGTGTCATCCTCATTCCATGAATCCAGGTCAATCTGTTCATCTGTCATACGTTTGTTTTCTTTCAGAGTCTGTTCTTCTTCTTCTGTTGTTGGAGCTACAGTAGCATTAGTGGAAGACGCTGGTTTTGATGTGGTGCTGCTAGTGCCTGGAAACAAGTTAAACACGATTAAAATCACATAACACAAGGAAAAAAATTATGGAAACCAATTTCATAGTAACATCTTAAATAAATAATAGTAAATAGAAGAGATAACTAGCTAAAAACTAGTTTCAGCTGCGTCGGTGTTTCTGATGAAACAGTAATGATGAAAAGGTAAATTATACACCGTGAAAAGACGAAAAAACTTACTGACGTTTCGGACGCTAGTCCTTCCAGCTCTTTTACTCCGATGAAGGACTAGCGTCCGAAACGTCATTAAGTTTTTTTCATCTTTTCACGGTGTATAATTTACCTTTTCATCATTAATAGTAAATAGTTTCTGCAACGCAGGTTACCTCCAAAATTCGATCTCAGGGCTTCTATCAGCCATTGTGATCATAAAGCAGAGACAAGAATGTCAGAAAGATCCTATGTCTCGACATAGCAAGCCAAAATAAATCTAGAGTAATGATCTCTATATCTTTCTTTCTTTCATTGTTTTTTCACTCTTGTTTATTCGTTTCCATTCCAGTTTTTTCTTTTCTCCTAGTTCGTAAATCATTCCTCTTAGAAACCCTGATGGACGTTCATGGGCAAAAGAACCCATCGTCAGATACTTTTGAAATTTTGCATGATGACAATACATCATACTAGACGTAAAATAAGCAAATAAGGAATATTGGTCCCTACTTCGTTTATCACTCAGAATTCGTGAAAGTTCACCTTTTTACGGTAAAGATGTACCCAAACTAATTCTGAGCGAATTTTGGACAGAGTTAATTGTCGCTCGCCTTCGCAAAAAATAGTGTGCCAATTTAACTGGATTTTTCATGTAATGTGCTTGGATTATCCTAGATTCTAACAGTGTGTTTTATTTTAAGATCTTTGAAATGTGTAGCCTATTACGGCCCAAAATCAAACAGTGCTATTTTTAGTTTTTGGCTTTTTTCTTCTCATCCTTTGGTACGATTTTTCTTAAAAAATTTCAGTACCAATCTCCTAGTACTAATGCAACCTGTGTGTAAATTTTGATAGAAAGTCTAGGGCAGAAAAAAGGTATGACGCCGCTTGAAAGTTCGATCCAATATCTGAAGCATATGAAACATCGCGCTGTAGAAACATTAACATTGAATGGATTGCCTTCAAGTTTTCACATATCTATTTCCAAGTATTGCGGATGAGCTTTAAGAAAATTCAGCATCAAATCTTGAAAACTCAAGGCATAATTTTTTTTACTAATTGTCGTTGTAAACCTCAAATATGAGAGTTTTGCTAAAAATCACATTTTCGCCGTTTTCTTCAAAACGGTTCCAAGTTTTTTCTTTAAACTTCCTACATCAATAGACCAGAGGTTTATCTAGATGGTAGTGAAATTTCTACGCTCGTCCTATCCAAATTTTGGAGAAAATGTTTTTTTTTAAAGCGCAATAGTTTTGCGAAGCGAGCAATAATAAAATTTTCCGAAATTCGCTCTGAATTAGTTTGGATCCCGTAAACATCAAAGCTGTCAATATTAAGCCTAGTTTACTGAAAAAATAAATTGTTTGTCCCCATTTTTTACGAAATAAAAAGGGGGTCCACGACTTTGTTTTAAAGCTAAAAGAGATTAAAGACGTTTTCATGATATTTTGCTCAACAAAACATTGGAATGACGCCAACACGTTTTAAAAGCGCGCACACTAAACTCATTCGTAGAAAGGAAGGATTAAATTAGGTAATTACAAGGGAGCATAGTTATATTTGTGCTCGCTTGGTAATAGACTAGTTTCGAATTCCAAATTACCGCTGTGTTTCTTGATTACAGACTCATTTGCACAGGGTTAGCCTCGAGTTTGTGCAGAATATTCACGTGTTACAGTCAAGGTCCGTCGAGTTTCAAAATGCTTGTATTGTTGAAGTTGTGCATTCTTTACTTTACCGTTGGTATTTGTGAATATTTAAACACTGATACGAGGCTAACCCTTGCAAATGAGTCCGTAATCAAGGAACACAGCGGTAATTTGGAACTCGAAACTAGTCTATTATTACCCTTTTGAGCGCTAGCCCAAAACCTGTTGGATTTTATTACGAGCACCAAATCCACTTAAGTAAAAAAAACAATTCAGATTGATTTTTATAGTTACTTTTCTAAACAGCAGTAAGAAAAGCTTCAATCAAGTTAGACAAATGATATTTTGCTTGTATTTAGGGAACTAACTAAACAAACCGAATAAATAATTTGTTTAAAAGTAAGTACATTTGTACGGAAATCCGAGAACATTGTCCGAACTTCTTGGTGACCGTAACGCAATCCAACACGTTTTATACCACGTGATGGCTAGCTTTCAAAAGGAGAATAATTACAATATTTTTAATTAATCTAACTTGATTTTAACTATTTAATGTCAATTCGCTTCTTTTAAATATTTAAATTCACATTTACTGTCGACGCACCTGAGACGTTCTTTTGAGCCGTTGTTGGTTGCTGTGAACTACTCGTTGCCTTAGTAACCGTGCTAGGTAGGCTACTGGTGGTTGGTTTGATCGTTTCATTTTCTGGTGTCGTGTCAGGGGCCTTTGTCGGTTCTTTATCTAAGAACAYCAGGAAATAAATGTTATTATTGGAATAAACATTTGTTTCTAATAACCGTATGTTAGACGACACGTAAATTTTCTGAGATGCTTTCAAAGTTTTATATTTTTTCAATTTTAACTTAGACAAAACAGCAGTTTAAGACAATAAGCCACACTTGAGATATTAAAATTCTAACACGATACCGAGGCTTTCTGGAATAAATTGCTCAAAATTTTGTTAATTGCATCAACCTCAGAAAAAAAAAAAAA